TATGGGATGATTCAAAATTGTACGTATGATACAAATTCTGCACAGGCCTGTGACTCTGGATTTGATTTTCTGCACTGGAAAAAAATTATGCACAATTAAGCTGGGTGTGGTGGCACATGCCTGTAATCCCAGCACTCAGGAGGCTGAGGTAGGAGGATTGCTGCAAATTGGAGGCCCAGCCTGGGGTACATAGTGAGCTCAAGGCCAGCCGTCAGGTTACTGAACTGCATGGTGAAACGCCGTGTCAAAAAAAAAAAAAGCCCAATTAATCTGTAAAGTCACTGCATCCCATTAAAAATCCCTACATGACATCTTATATTAAAAATTTATTCCAAAAATTATGGTTAAAATTTTTTTTTAATTATGGTATAGTCAAGAAAAAAAAATGTTTACAAAGCAATGAAGGGTTCTTGCTTTTCCAAATAGCAAATATACTGTAAACCTTTGTGATAGATTGACAACTGGTGGTCAGCTTGTAACACCCAGCTGAACTGAACCAGAGTGGTGCTTGCTTGATGTAGAGGGCCCACTTGAGGATTATTACCAGAGGCATAAAAGGGAGACCTGGAGAGGAAGGAGGAGGGGCTGTTGGTTTTCCTAGAGGAGCTTGTCTTGCTGGCTTCCCTGATATGAACTCAGCTGTTCTCATCACCAAAGGAGCTCTGGGACCTTATAGTCACTGAGAATGGCTATGGTTCACTTTGGGAGAGTGCTCTGGTCCTTACTTTGAGCATTGCTTCCTGGTTGTGGAGGGAAAGAATGGTGCACTGTTCACTGTTCTGGAGAAGCTTGTCATGTTGGCTTTCCTGATGTGAACTTGGCTGTTCTCTCATCAGAAGAGCTTGGGACCTCACTCTTGGTGAGGATGGCTGTGGTACTTTTCAGGGAAGCTCTGGTTCTTTCTTTGAGTGTCGCTTCCTAGCTCCAGTGAAGATCCCTCAGCCTGCTGGCAGAAATCCTTTATCCTGCTAGCACAGAGTTTCTAGCATCCCCCACTGACCTTTGGGCCTTCCCAGCACAGATCCGTGAAACAGACTTGCATGAGACATTGTCATGGGCTCTTGGTCTCCAGCTGGACTCATGGGGGGCATTGTCATGGAATCCAGGCCCTCAGCTAGATTCTTTGGGTCTTTAGTGTGTAGAAAAATTTCCTGCACTCTTTTGTACTTGACTCTTTGGGTGACTACCATAAAATAATGCTACGAATTATGTGTCCTGTATTAAATTGTTTTTCTTGAAAACCCTGACTACAGCAGCCTTTTAGAAGGCAAGATAGTAAGTATAGTGTTGCATAGAATCTAAAAACATATATATGGTAAAAATGGTATTACAAGCCAATGAGAAAATTGATATTGAAGCAAATTATATCAATTAAAATTACATATCACATGTATAAAAATATGTTATAGCTGGGCATGGTAGCACATGGCTGTATAAGACTGAGGCAGGTGGATTACAAATTCAAACTCAGGTTAGGCAATTTAGTGAGACCTTATCTCAAATGGGGGAGGGGGCCTAGAGATGTAGGTCCTGGGTTCAATCCTTGGTAACACACATTTATAATTGGATTAAAATAAAACGACTCTAAGAAGTTTAATAGGACTTTTATTTACACTGTTTAAGAACCTCCCAGAATATTGCTTTACTTATTTAAAAGGGGAAAATTCATTCCATGGCTCTTTTGTTTTGTTTTGTTTTTGTTTTTCTCCGGTACCAGGAACCGAACTCATGACCTTGCGCTTGCCAGGCAGGCGCTTTTGCCGCTGAGCTAAATCCCCAGCCCCTCCATGGCTCTTTTGTCTAACAAAAAGAAGTGGTTACTCTCACATTCATTCATTCATTCATTCATTGCCTCTTCCTACCTCCTCTTTTCCCTGGGAGTTGAACCCAAGTCCTTCTCACTGAGCCATATCCCCACCCCTTTCAAAAATTTTTTAGTTTAAGACAGTCTCCCTAAGTTATTGAGTTGCTTAGGCTGAGCTCAAAACTTGAAACTCCTCTTCCTCAGCCTTCCCAAAGTGAGAAGTGTTATTTTTACATCTTCTAGATTTTTTTTTTTTTTTTTTTGTCTTTTTGAGGCAGGGTCTTGCTATGCAGTTCAGGCTGGCCTTGAGCTCACTTTGTAGCTCAGGCTGGTCTTGAACTCGGGACGATCCTCCTGCCTCAGCCTCCCAAGTGCTGGGATTACAGATGTGTGCCACCACACCTGGCACATCTTCTAGTATTACACATATTAACTTGAATATTTTTACTAATGATGGTCAACTAGTACAAAATTGTCTTCGTTATCTTTTGCTATAACTGAATACAACAGACTGGCTGTATTCTAAAGAATAAAATTCTTATTTAACTTATGGTTCTGAAGGCTGAGAAGTCCAAGAACATGGCACTAGTGTCTGGTGAGAGCCTTCTTAATGCATCATAACATGTTGGAGGTCTTCACATGGTGAGATAGAGCAAGGAAGCCAGAGAGAGCTTATTTCATAACAAAACCACTCCCATAGTAATCCACTAATCTGCTAATCCATGAGAGGATTCACCTGTTCATAAAAGCACAGCCCCTGTGACCCAACCACCTCCCAGAGAATCAACTTCTAAACACTGCTTCACTGAGGACCAAGTTTCCAATGTACAGAACTTGGAGACCCTACATGCAAACCATGGCAAAATCATTCAGGTATTATTAAACTTTGAAGTGCAGCTATTTCAAAGAAGGGTTTATGGTAATACCCTTTAAAGCATAATTTCATGATTACTGAATATGAAAAGCATTTTTATTTAGTAGATTTTTTTCCATCTCCTACCTTAACAAAAAGTTTGACTATTTAAAATTGTCTTATGTACTCTTTTCCTTTTCAGAACTAGGGATTGAACCCAGGTTTTCTCTCCCATCTTTTAAAAATTTTTAATTTGAGACAAAGTCTTGCTAAATTGCCCAGGCTGGGTTCAAATTTGCAGTACTTCTATTTCAGCCTCCCAGAGCACTGGTATTTACAGGTGTGTGATACCACACCCGACTTACTTTAATCCTATGTGCATAAAATTCCTTTTTAAACAATTTAAAACAATTTTTTTTTTGTCTTTTTGAGACAGGGTTTCACTACACAGTTCAGACTGGCCTTAAACTCATTTTGTAGCCCAGGCTGGCTGTGAACTTACAGTGATCCTCCTCCCTCAGCTTCCAGGTGCTGAGTGGGGATTACAGGCATGAACCACGACACCCAGCAAAATTCCACTTGTTATAGGTACTATAAATTGAGAAGACCTGAAGTTTCAGAGGCATAGAATTTTATTTGCTAGCTCTGAAATAAGAGCTGAAAGAGCAATGTCCACAGAAAAGTAAGACTTAAGTAAAACAGTGGATTCTCACGAATAATTGGGTTCATAAAAGTTTTATAAAAATACAACTTTGCAATATGTAAGGCCTGTGATAAAAGTAAAGAACCAGGTAAGTTTGTATTTATAGGTAGGGTCTGAGATAAAAATCAAAAAACAGGTAAGTTTATATCTAATTGTCCTGGATGGGTATCGGCCACACTTTCCTGTAGAGCTTTTTGTAAAGATTGGTAAAGAAATATAGAAATACGTAATTGTGTATGATGCTTCTCCCTAAGTTTTCTCGTGTATGCACATTTTTCTGCAACTACATTTTCTCATTTGAACATGTTTTAGAGTTCTTTGTATCCATATAAAGCTACTCCTTTCTTTTTAATGTCTTTATAGTATAGTAGTTTCCCATTATCTGTGATTATACTTTTCAAGGTTTCAGTTACCCACAGGCAGCTGCTGTATGAAATAATTAAATAAAAAATACCAGAAATAAACAGCTCATGTTTTTAATTTTTTTAACCATTCTTTTATTTTTCCTGAATAGCAATTGAACTGAGCCTTCCACAACTGAGCTACATTCCCAGCCCATTTTTATTTTTTATTTTGAGATACGGTCTCACTAAATTGTTAAATTGCCCAGGCTAGACTCACATTTGAAATCCTCTTGCCTCAACCTCCCACAATTCTGGGATTACAGTCATGTAACACCACCCCTTGCTCACATAATTCTTAATAGTTGATGAAATCTCTCATCACCTGGTTCTGCCTTACCGGAATGTGAATCATCCCTTTAACAGGTGAGTAACTGCTACTCACCTGTTAGTTACTCAGTAGCTATCTTAGTTATCAGATTGATTGTCCTGGTATCCCAATGCTTGTGTGCAAGTAACCCTTATTTCATGTAATAATAGGAACAAAGCACTAGAGTAGTAATGCTGGAAATTTGGACAAGGAGAAACTAGAAGGTATGTCCTTCAAGTGAAAAGGTGAAAGTTCTCAATAAGGAAAGAAAGGAAATACGGTGAGGTTACTAATATCTGCAGTACAATGAGATATTTTGAGATAGACCACATTCACATTATTTATTTATAGTTGCTGTCTTAGTCATAATTGTTAATCTCTTATTGTACCTAATTTACAAATTAAACTTTATCATAGGTATGCATATGTAAGAAAAACAAAATGTATACTACTGGGTTTGGTACTATTTGCAGTTTAAGCAACAAATAGGAATGTTCAGACATATTCTCCATGGATAAGGGAGGACTAATGTTATATACCATACTTAGTAAATCAGTCCCTCTTTCAAATTCTTTTTATAATGAGCATATCTTTATGTATACCTTGTATTTATACATGATTTCTCTTGATTATATCCCCAGAAAATATTGCTGAGCCAAAAGGTATACACATTTAAATTTCTGATAGATACTTTAGGTGTGGGGCCCAAACATAAGTTACTCCAGTCTATATCCCATCATGTATATGAGACAGAATACCCTTTAGCAGTATTCTTAATAGTAGTGGATAGTATCCGTCTTTTAAATATTTGCTACAAACATGGGCAAAGAAGATCTTCATCTTTACTTTGTATAATTATAAATAAATGAGTATCAATAAACACAGAATGCTAGAAAATTAAACAGCAGAAATGTATTCTTTGTTTTCAGGTCAGTACTGACAGTTGCTTGTGAACAGACTGAAGTTCTGCTTTTTGATCCTATATCTTCAAAGCACATAAAAACACTTTCTGAAGCTCATGAAGACTGTGTAAATAATATCAGGTTAGTATTATTGAAAAAAGTGAACTTTATATTGTGACTCAGTATTCTATTTGAAAATCAGTTCAGCAGTGCTTCATTATTCACATATATGAATTGTGATTCTAATTCCTTGTGAAAGTTACAGTATTCCTTTAATTACAAAATTTACTGTTAAATATTTTGAATTGGGATCTTTCTGAGAGAGATACGTGGTTACTTCCATATGATTTTTTTCCTTCCTCTTTGTATATCAAGGTCATCATTGTGAACCTCAACCTTGTATTATGCTAGCCCTGTAATACTTTTGTTCTAAAGATCTGTGTAGGGGCGGAGGATATAGTTCAGCAGCACAGTGCCTGCCTGGCAAGCGCAAGATCATGAGTTTGATTCCCGGTACCAAAAATTAAATAAATAAAGTAAAATAAAGAAAATATCTGTGTGGAATTATGACAGTCCTGTTGCTTAACATTTACCACCACCACCACCTGCCAAATCTGAACTTCTGAGAGGAAAAAACACATTGAAGAGAATTTCTTTTTAGTGGTGTTGGACACTCTTTAAATTGTTAATAGTGTGAGAAGTAAATTACACTTGAACAGTTTGATGGATTAATATGCAGTTATTAAAATGGTGGTCATAAACACTACATAAAAAATAGAGAAATACTTGAGATACTGAGGTTAAAATCATAAAAATTATACAAATGTGAAATGATACAGAAGAAAGATTAAAAGGAAATATTTTAAGATAATAAGAGTAGTCAGGGGCTGGGGATTTAGCTCAGCGGCACAGTGCCTGCCTGGCAAGCGGAAGGTCATGAGTTCGATTCCCAGTACCGGAAAAAAAAACAGAAGGGAAAAAAAAAAAAAAAAGAGTAGTCAGAATGGGTGGATTATCATTAATTTTCTATTTTCTAAACATTTTTAAATGAGATTGTATTATTTAATGTTCTGAAAGAACAACAGTAGAAATTCTAGTTAAGGTAACATTGAGTTGTGATATAAGCACTTTGGTCCACAACAGTAAATTAAATTAACACAAAATATAGCCAGGTTGTGAAACAATATAAACGTCTCTGTGGGACAGAACTGGAACACAGACACAAAGGTTTGAACAGGGCTGACACCATAGACCTACTGGGTTTTCAGTCTAACTCTGACATCGAGTACTTTTGTTCGTTCAGGTTAAAGGATTAAAAAAAAATCCTAAAGTATTTCATGTGAGGTAGGAACCAGAGCCAGAATCACTACATGAAGCCAGCACTTCAATTGAACTGTCTGTCTCATTTGTGAAAGACTGAAAAAATAAAAAAAGCTCTTTACTACTTGAGATTATAGATTTTAGGGGCTTTAAGACACATCCTCATCAACAGGAATTAAATGAAGCCACCTGGTGAATCAGTGACCAAATGTGTACGTGTGATATTTCCAATATCATCATGAAACTGGACCCCTGAAGTCTCATTATGTATCCTGATTGTTAAGTAGGGGCCCAGTTGACCAGACAACTCTAAAACCATCAAATAGGAAGAGAGTTCACTCAAGTTTATAACCAAAATTATGAAGACATCTAATATTAATATCACATCAACCACCAGACAAGCATTTTTCTGGATGAAATTAATTTTACGGAGTAGTCCAACAAAGACTTTATTTTAAAAAATAAATTATTTATTTTTTTCTTTGACTAGGTAATACATGCACGTGGTACAAAATTCAAAGGTACAAAAGGGTAAACAGTGAAAAGTAAGTCTATTTTCACCTCTGTCGCCTAGCCACCCAGTTTCTCTCCCCAGAGGTAACCACTATTACCAGTTTCTTGATAGTTTTTCTGAGATAGTTTATGCATGTATAAACATACATACACATACATATACTTTTATATAAATGGTAGCATTCTACACATATGCCTTGCCTTTTTCACTGAACATTTTAGAAAACATTCCATATTAATCTTCACGGGAGAGTCTTACTCTTTTTAACGGCTGCATAGTATTCCATTGCTTGGGGGACCCTGAAGCCTTTTTAGGATGCTCAAAGAAACAAGGATACTTTCCAGTTAAAGAGAGCTGAACATTATAAAATGAGAAGTAAAACAAGAACAGGTTAATGTAGTAAAGAATCAACTAGAACACTTGGAAATTAAAACTGTAGTTAGTATATTAAAAGCCAGGGAAAAAATGGAAGGTTGGAGAATGTAGCTTGCCTCCCTTGATTTGATCCCCAGTACTGCAGTGACCAGTGGGGTGGGGTGGTGGAACTGGAAGGGTAATGGGCCAATTTCTTTAGGTATAACTCAGAGGTAGAGCACATGCTTAGCATGTTTGAGGGCCTGTGTTCAATCCCCAGCACCAAAATAAAAAATTTAGTAAATGATATAAACTTTACTCTTTGTATCACTGCTGAATGAATTAGTGGTTTGCAAAGTAGTACTAAAAAATTCAACCAGCAGCTGGGCATGGTGGTGCACGCCTGTAATCCCAGCACTCAGGAGGCTGAGGCAGGAGGATCCTTGCGAGTTCGAGACCAGCCTGGCTACAAAGTGAGCTCAGGGTCAACCTGAGCTACATAGCAAGACCCTGTCTCAAAAAAACTAACTAAATAAATAAATAAAATTTCAACCAAAATACAGGAAAAAAGATAATATGAATACTTAAAAGGTGAATTAACTGAGACACTAATGTGTATAAAAAGTTGCAGAAGAAGATCAGTGGAAAACTAATTTTATAATGGCTTAGAATTTGTAATATTGAGAAGGCCAGAGCCCTCAAATCAAAAGTTAATTTTAGAGTGTCAAGCAGGTTAAGTAAAGATGAAACCAAATCTAGAGTTTATGGTAAAACTCTAGAATATCAAAGATCAGGAGCAAATCTTAAAAGCCCCTAAAATGAGAAACCAAGTTATATATAGAATTGTGATTAAACTAACAGATTTCTTATCAGTAACATTTCATACCAGGAGAAAAATGGAGTAATATTAATGTCATTGATATAACCAGGTAAACTTTTTTTTGAAGCAGGGTCTTGCTACGTAGTTCAGGCTAGCTTCAAACTTACCATGTAGCCCAGGCTGGCCTTGAACTCGGAATCCTCCTATCTCAGCCTTCTGAGTGCTGGGATTACAGGCATGCACCACCACGCCCAACTGAATAAACTGTTAAGATTGAAGCATTTTAATTAACTAAAATGTTACATGTTATCAATAGCATAAACAATATAATTTAGAGGGCTTTTTACAAAGTTGAAACTAAAACTAAGCCAGGCATACTAGCACAGGCCTATGGTCCTAGTGTTTTGGGAAGCTGATGTAGAAGGATCACTTGAGCCCCAGAGTTCAAGACCAGTGTAGGCATCACAATAAGACCCCTATCTCAAAACCAAAAAAGTATAGGGCTGGGGATGTAGTCATGATAGAGTGCGTACCCAGAATATGTAAAATCCCGGGTTTCATACCCATCATCACAAAAAAAAAAAAACTAAACCTTTAGATTAATGCCAGTCAATAGAAATATTAGTCACATACAGAATTTTAATTTAATAGTAGTTACATTTAAAAAGAAATAGGTAAGATTAATTTTAATAATGTATTTTATTGGTCAGGTTTGGTGACTCATGCCTGTAATCCCAGCACTCAAGATTCAGAGGCAGTAGGATTGCCCTGAGTTTGAGGCCAGCCTGGACTACATACCAAAACCCTGTCTCAAAAAACAAAAGCAAACTAAAATATATATTTTATTTGAGTAGGTCCAAAAAGTATTTCAATATGTAATCAATATAAAAATTATCAATATATCTTACTTTCACTTTCTTTTGCAAAATCTTTAAAATCCATTGTGTGTTTTACATTTAGAACAAGTCATTTAGAACAAGTCAAAATCTTTAAAATCCATTGTGTGTTTTACATTTAGAACAGATCTGGAACCCAAAGTATAATATCTGTACTAGTTTACCCTAATGGATGTAATTATTATGTATTACAAACATATACTGATAAAACGACAACAACAACCACACCAACAACAAAAAGCTGCGTGTGGCTAGTGGCTGTGGAGCTGGCAGTGTAGCTCTAGGTAGTGACAACAAAGAGGTTGAATATATAGGAAAGATTTGTTCAGTGGGAGTTTAAAATATGTTAAGGCCCAAATCGTGTTTAGGAAGATGATAGAAATGCAAATAGCTTATGGATGCTTTTAGGTCAATATATAACTAAGTATATACAATAAAAAGCTAAAACAGTAAATAAAATAATGGAAATATATAGCTTTCAAACCAACCAAAGGAGGGGGAGAGAATACTGTATTGAAGACCTAATCAGGTCAATAAAAGATAGAAAAGCTTAATAAAGATTTTTAAAAATTAAAGCAAAAGAAAGGATGATAAATAGCAAAAAGCAGAGAGTCTCATGTGTGAATAGTTCACAGTAAATATAAATGAATTGGTCATCCTTATTAAAAGACACAGTAATTTGAATAAAAAACAAAACTCTTCATATTCTTTCTAGAGATACCAGTAATAAAAGTAATAAAGAAAAAAAGAAAAGTGATTATTAATGTTGACAGATGAAAAATTAAAGGCTTTAATAGTGATAAAGTACAAGAATATGTATTAATTAAACGAATAATCTACCAAGAAGATATAATCATGACCTTTTATGTACCTTAAACATAGTCTTGAAATATACAAAGCAAAAACAAATGTAAAGAATTGCAAGTCTACAGTCATAGCAAGAGATTTTAATACAGTTCTATCTAAAACTAGTAAGTCAAACAAAAATTTGGCTGTAGAAGATTTTTTAATATTATGAATAATCATTCTGCTGAAAAGACTAATACTGCAACATATATAAATATATGTGTGTGTATGTGTATAGTTGAATAGATAAAAAAGAAAGGGAACGAAAAATGTATAGTTGTGGGCTAAAAATGAAATGGAACCGGGAATGCAAAAAACTAAACAAGTATTTGGCTAGCTTCTGTTGTAGAAGCATCTGCCAGTGCTAGTGATCCTGAGTTTCTGCTTTGAC